ACATGTAGCTTCATAACCCTGTATACATTTAGCTTCATAATCTACATTAACAACTCTTTGTATACTGTCTACAGTTACATGTAAGCTTGACTAATTCTCCTTATCTAATTCATGTAAGCCTGACTAAGTCCTAAGTCTGGACTCAATGAATGCCTTTGTGAAACTAAATATGAAAACAGTCAGCAGTTGAACAAGAACAGGCAGTGTGTGCAAATACATGGAGGCAGTCACATACGTCATCATCCAATTAATTTTTCACCAAATATCATCTCCGCATGGTAGATCTATGAAATTCAAACACACCCAAAATAATTGTAGTGGCTGTGCAAAACTGTCTGCAGAAACATAAGCAACGACAATTGTTTTAGGAATTTTCTGAAATCATAAAATCACAGCAACTTACCACAAGTTCAGCAAATTTTGCATTGAGCTCCTCAATGGGTGGCATCGGTGACGACAACTCCATCGGCTGCAACTGGATGCCATTGTCGACACCATAGGTAATCTCAGGTATGTCGTCGCCACCACCAAAACAGCCACACCAACCACCACTTCGTCGTTTGCGTGGCATGGTGATCTCAGTCAATTCAAACACAGACTACATCTGCAAATAAAAATGAAACAGGAAAGCTAGTTAGCCTCTGTGACTCTGATGAATGTAAAAAACCGACATACTCATATGTCATAGGAAATTAAATGAAATCAAATTCAATAAACATACATTACTTTCTTCACAAAGTTGATAATCTACATAGAAACCTGTGTTTATTTTACTAGAGTTGTGCTAGCTGCTTTTTTTCAATATGAATAAAGACACAGGTGACTATGGAAATTATTGGCCGACTAATTAATATTCAGGAAGGGGTTTCATTTTATTGCTTTAGCAACTGACTTCTGTATTCCGGGACCTTGAAATGGCATATCAAAAAGCATAACATCCACTGTGGTAAGAGTATATCTTCTATGCGTAGTAAGGCATGCAAGGAATTAATAATAATAATTGTAATAAATAATGATGAAGATGTAAAATAAATTCAATAATTTTTAAACTGAGTGTATGATAATGTTCTTGGAAAGAAATATAATATTATAAGTCTTGAAGATACAACAAACAAAGATTCAAAAGTAAGAAACGGGAAATGCAGAAATACAAAGAATAAAATGCTATCAAGAAGTAAAAGAAGTAATTGCAACTTGTCCCAAACATTATTTTACTTGAATCTAAGTATTTAATCATAATACATTTCCCCCTTTCAACTCAGGTAAACATAAACCAAAGCAAGCACTGAGTGTAAAGTCATTTCACAATAAAAAATGGTTCTGCTCTGGTGGAAGTAACAAGAGGCGAGCCATCGATTGTCTGTAACTCAGTTCATTACAATTACGAATTAGCTGAGCAGAACCACATACACGAGAAATACATGTACCTTTCACAGTGTCCAACATCAGAAGCATCACTAAACCACTTTTTCACTCCTTTGTTCACAAGTAGAAATGCAACCGAAAGCTGTCAAAGGCTGGTGAGAATTAACCTTCTTTTTAAAAGGCTAACACACCAGGAAGCGTGACACTAGAAAGAAAGCGCATTTATTTTTAGACAGTATTGCCAACAGCGGCAGACTGACCTAACCGACAAACTGTTAAAAGGAAACACCTGACCCACGACTGATGGGACAAAGCATACTTTTTTGTGTAATCGGCTAAGCATAAAGAAAATCTGGAACGCTTCAATTCTTGTTCACTATTTCAATCTAATTGATGGATAGTAAAGTGTAATAGTTTTGAAATGCATCCGGCTTCTAAAAACAAACGAAAGTCTACAATAATATCAACATGCATGGGTAATACAATATGCTTAAACCAAGCAATGTGGTCAAATGGTACACACCCTCATATTCCGTATTCGGCAATAACTAAAACTTATAATAATTATTTTACTACTGAACTCAGAGGTCGATTACAACCTTGGCACTACTAATAAGAATACAACACCACCATAGAGTTGATTTTCTTTTCTTAACAGCAACCACTGAACTGTTAATAATATTGACAGATGAGACCTGAACTCGGGCGTTTTTTTTGTTTTTTTTTGAAAAGCAGACCATAGATTAACCTGTGAATGAACCATGAATGTGTAGAACATACACACGTACAGGAGTAACTGTTACTAATTCAAGTATCCAAGTCAATGTCAGTGTACATGATTCAAAACCACACAATGGTCAATTACAGCGAAGCCAAGTGCAATCTACATGACAACTAAATCAAGGTCAGAGATAGGTTTAATTAATCAGTACAGGAAGAATGTGACACACCTTGAAAACCTCAGTATCCCTTTAAAAACACAAGGAGCAATACTGGGTTCAGCTAAAACAACAGATGAAACAAAGGAGTCCAAATATTAATCTGGTTCATGAGGTTTTGAATGTAAATATTGACTGAATGCTTGCTCCTATATAACAATATACAGATCAGTTCCTGTTCCTGTTTAAACCTCAAAAAGGACCATGGACATTCAGTCAAGCAAAGACATTCTAACAATCCAAATACAGACACTGCACTAATTAATGTTCTGACATAAATGCCACAAGTAATAATTACATTGTAGTTTCCCAAATGGAATGTATGTTAATAATTATTAAAACAGACACCAATTTTGTTCGCATGTGCATTATATTAATTAAAAGTAATCTAATAACAGAGGCAACACAGTACTCATGGTGTTGCTCTTTTTTATCATGCTGGCACAGTCCCTTTATCAGATAGAGGGACTATGATACTGTCCACATTGTACCTATAACTTTGTATATAATAACAAGGTTATTATTTGCTCAGTACTGGTACATGCAAACACAATGTAGGGACTGAGGCTTTATAGCAGCTACCAGGTACCAAAATATTAGAGTTGTATGTGCATGTACGCCCAGATACATAACAATGCAATTTATAACGTACCCTTATCATAGAAGACTGAAAGGTTGCAGACACACTAAGCAAGTCATTGTGGAATATCTTACTTAGCACCTAAGGTGCCTCTATGTCTGACACCATGTCTTGCCTGGGCTGAAATGAACTCTATCGCTTTTTGAAGTCAGAATACCCTACATATGGTGTAGACCAATAGTAAATAAACCAGGTAATGACATACACATTTCTGTCAAAGACTTTATTGTATGAAGTCAGCAACCGTAAACTTCACAAGAATATAAACTTGAACACAACAGGTAATTATCATCATGAGCAATCTAAGGTGAATTCCACCTGACGTTCGATAAAAAGCAATGGCATACCATTCCACAGAAAATGTTCTTTATTAATAGCTTTGATGTGCCAGTTTGAATACATGTGCTTGCAATCAAGACTTGCTGAGTTGCTAGTAAAATAGCCTCTTCAATTTCATACTTAATGAAATACATTATATAGCAATGGACATCTGACAAACGTCTCAAAAGCAATAACATAAAACGTATGAGTATTATATAGAAAACGAGGTAACAAAGTTAACTATGTTGCTGAAGATTTGCAGGTTGTAAAGCCGTCCACAATAAAGCTCACATTCTTAAAGAACAATATTTGTGCAATAGGCTTCAAGCAATGTTTTTGTAAAGCTGAATAAAATTATATAGCATTTGCATTTTACAATGAATCTACACCACTTGAAAATACTGTAAAACGTCTATTGATGCACCACAGTTAGAGCTACAGTTTACTAGACTAGTTAACGATGGTGGTAAACAAAGCTACATACATCTTGGATCAAAGTACATTCTTAGGTTAACATCAAGGAGACACACTTACAGTTTCTCACATTCAACTCCACTGAAACGGAACAATTCAAAGCATTTGCTGTTGAAATTGGTAACTAAGATTAATAAAGCATCATGATCACATTGAATACAGTATATATTACCTGGCAATACTCACACAGTCTTACCATTGACAAACTGACCCAGTTTGGGAGGAATTCAACACTTAACATCAACATTATACAGAACGATAACACTGGCTACCACTAAGTAGAAGGTTCAGGTGCCAATTCCCTGATGCTACGCTGCAAATACATTATTTTTGTATTTCTGCACTAGGTTCTTTTAATAAAGATCACAGGACAGAAGCAAAAAAAAAAAACCTTTATACATTACTTTCAAATACTGTAAAATGACTAATTTTCACTGTGTTTAATTCACGGTTTTATCATTTAGATAATGTGTTCTATGCTCAATTTTATATATTTCACTGGGTTTTAATTTAGCACATTTTCAGCCAGCGAAATAAGCAAAATTAAAACCCCAGTGAATAATTAACCCATTTACAGTATTAGATTATGCAATGTTTTGTTTTGTTATTATTACCCCAGTACAATTATGCAATCACCTGGAACTCCTGCTTCAAGTGTCTTAGCTTTCGCTACACAACACAAAACACAGGTATAGCATTACAGCTGGTACAATAATACAAAGAAAAGGCAAAAACAAACTGTCCAATGTACAGCATGGAAAAACTACACAAACAGTACACTGGCTTTTGTTTTCTTTTGCTCTGGAAATCCAAAGAGAGTTCAATTTGTACGTGCCTTATGGTGAATTTTCATCACAACAATAATGTGGCACTGACTCAGATTCTCAACAAAAACTATATACTAGGTTTTGATCAAAACAACACAGCGGGTAAATGAGTATGTATTTGTCAGCTGAACCATAACTATTCTCTATCTAGCAAATACATCTGTTGTGCAATTGAAAACCAATAGGAACCCATTCTTCTAACATTGCAAATAATCGTGAAATGTGCAAGTACAAGTGTGAATTAGACAATATATATGCAAGTACTGGGAGCCAACCTATGATTTACCTTGAACAATAAGAGTTTGAATAGCATTAGAAATACATGTCCAGCAGTTGCAAAGACAATGCAGAACCTACTGCAGATGGCTCAAAATGATGAATTGTAGACATAAATCATAGAACCGAAAACTGACAATTCTCATTATTCTTTGGTGATTGTATATAAACTATGGCTTAATTACACTTTAATATAAATAATGCATTATGGGTTAATCCTACTCTAAAAGGAAATTCCTTTTTAGTGACGTAATAATACACAAAATAAAATTTATCACAGAAAAAAATTTTTTTCTATAATTACACAATGACAGCACACAATCAAAAACATTATCCATTTGAACATGTCTGTATGTTCTAATTGATGAGTCAGTCGAGTCCACTTAATATTTGATGTTGCCAAGGTTTGTCTATTTGAGTATATCAGACATATCCATATAAGCTAGAGAGAACGTTTCCTGAAAATTTAGTCATTTCTTTGAGAGTGAAATGCAGTCAATATTCTTCTGAATGGTCTATTTTCTAATCAGTTAATTAATTAATTAATACGTTATACGTCCAATTTTATTTATGCAAATAATATGTTCAGACATCTGAGTAATATTAGTTGTTTGTCAAGTACCGAAATCTCTTGAGAACTTATTTTTTTTTATTTATATGATGTATTTAGGCTTAGTGTGTGAGGCTGTGCTATTCATGTACGTACAAGAGCCTGGTTGACAATATTAGACAAGTACACAATATTGAAGCATTTACTAAAAACAGAAAAATTAATGATGTAATTCTTATTGTTTAGTTGTCACCAATATTGCAACATCTGGAAAATATTTTAAAAAAAACAAAAAAAAACCTGGTACTTTCTTTTCATAATGTCAACAGTAAATTAGTACAAAACCAGATCCTGATCAGCAATCAAGGATTCAGACCACAGTTTCCTACCCAAAGAGCAGCAACAAAAAGAATCATTTTGTTCAGCTAAGTCAGAGTTTTAAATATACTCACTGTATATCACATAATTAATAGGACACAAATTCAACAAACTTCTTTGTGGATAACAGTATGGGTTCCTTTCTCAAACACCAATAAAAATGCAAATAACACACAAGACATAAATAAAGATAAAAAACTACTGGTATACAAGATTGAAGAAAATAAAAAAAATTAGAAAACATATGTAACTACATGAAATTTCGCTTTTGATTTAGTTTTCAAGTAGAGGGAGAGAACTGTGAAAATGAAAAGATCTCAAGACTGGAAGTGTTGTAATGTTGACAAAAGAAAACAGAATGTATGCAAACATTTTCAGTGAAAATAAACAATGTCTGAGTTTTAATAAAACTGTGGGAACACACAGGAAGCCACTATCTCACTAGAACACAGCAAAGGGTTTGATACTCCACTACCGACTCAGAGCTAGCAGAGAGGCCATACTAGTGAAGTTTATGCATGAAACCCAAAATCCCCAGCAAGATTCCTTTCATCACACGTTTTAAGAATTGTTGAATCACATTAATTTAATGACTTCTTGAAGACTTTCAAAGTCCAAGTGTCAGCATCAAACATATTTCAAATATTTAAGCAGGAAACTGTTCTTTATTTTTGTTTTCTGTCGCATTAAAACCCCCATACAGTTTTATTATAAGGATGCTACTTGTATTTTTGTTCAATCACGCTACTGATTATAAGGCTGCTTGAAATAGCATTTCACAACACTGCTTTTTTAGTCACGATTAATTAATTAAAATTTATTCATGCGAATACATATTACAAAATCGTAATTTTATTGTCACTGGTGTCTATCATGTGTCTTTATCTTTCATGACATCTGATATGAGCATGAAGAGCACCAATAAAATTCCTCTACTCACCAAACATGTCATACAGTTTCATCTTTAACTGTATCAAATGTCAGGATATAGGAGTGGCAGCAAGTCACAATGAAAAGACAAATTTCATGCAGTATTACTCGGAAAGAAAATATGAATGAAATTAACAAATCTATTGGAAGCAAATTAAATAACAATAACAGAAAAGAAAGGTCTGAGAAATCCTTGATCGGGTAGTATTCCTAAATTATGATTAAATATTTAATGGTAAAGGCTAACGTAATTTTTCAACATTGCAAGTCATGAGTCACTACATTCGGAATACACGGAAGGGATTCACATTTATTCAACGGAAAATAAAAAAAAAAAAAAATTATCAGCTTGCACACACCACGGACAATGGTGGTTATATTGTGCCGGAGTAAAAAACACATGCCTTTATTATTTTTGTGTATGCATATAATAAACAACTGGCACGGCAAATACTGCAATGTTGTACTTGTGTACGCTTGTTATGTTCTGTTCGCGTTTTAAAAATGAGAGTAATTTTAAGGTGGGCGAATAGTCTAAAGACACTCAACTGCCGCTGCGAAAATTAGCTTCAATGTAATGCCGCTTGGTAAAACATGCCAATGTGACAATGTGCGACCGATCTTCGCTGAGGACATGTCTTTTACTCTTGCCCGTTGATCGTTTGTATTCATGTCCCGATCGAAGACCGAAGTCTGCAATGCCACAAATGAATGTATTTTTCAACCATGTAAACTTAACTATGGTATAAAAGTATGAACAGGATCGATAGAACTGAAGTATCTGTCACACTTACCGGAATTTTAGGTCATATTCTCGAATAAGTACAATACAAGGTACCACGAAATAACACTCCTTTCTCTTCTTTCTTCCGCGCTGAAACCGGAAGCGAGCACAGACTATTTCCGCCTACCGTCGGCGATCTTCGGGCTCAATTCAACTGTCGATTTTTGTTTTGATGTTTATCGTGGAATGTTGGTTGTGAAACTAGAGTGACAACGTATTATATATGGATATTCTCTAAATATACCATGTGTCCCTGTGAATGAGAAAACAGGCGTCCATTCAACTCGTTTTATTTCGGCGAAGATGACATCATCATAACGAAAAGACAAGTTACGCATGCGCGAAATATTTCGATCACCGAAGATCCAAAATGGCGTCTAAATGTTTGTGTACATGTAATGGATGAGATTTTTTTTCAATTATACTTTATTACGAGAGACTCGCATCCAAACTGATGTAATATTATAACTAGGATAGAATGGTGAAACAGGGAATTCAAATATTTTGTCGCATAAAGCCCGCCCGGGGAAAATCTGCGGTAGGTACTTACTTACTACTACTAGTCATGTTGCTCCCCCAAACTTGATACATGAGTTAATTTTTAAGAATGTAATTCATTGAATGGTTGTTGAACGAATTTATCGAACCGACATAAATTTGTGTAATAAATTCGCTATATGGTGTAGGTATCTGTTTCTACTACAATCACGTGCTTTGGTGTGTGTTGATATGTGTTGTGATCCTTATAAATTACAACTTGCACTTTGAACAAGTTGCTGCCTGTCAACATTTACAAAAAATATAATATAAAACAAACTCGCTATGAAACGACATGTCAGTTGGAAAATCGAATTAACGCCGTGTAGCGGTGGGTAATAGGATAATGGAGCACTTCATTTCCTGTCACAAGTTTAGAATGTTATGCACCAATACAATGTGTAATTTGATCAAACAAATTATTCAAATTGCTCTTTGAATGCATAAATTGGAATCGTATAATATATTGATTAATTAATAATACAGTGAATAGATCAGAGCATTGGACGTCGAAGATCAAAGTTAGGGTAGATCAGACCCGCAAATTATATTTGTACTATATTTTATGACATGCATGCATGTTTCAACATGACATCTATAGTTGATACACTTACAGTATAAGGCTTAATTATTCAATGCACTAAATTAAAACCCAGATAATACAGATGAAGTGTTACCAATAGAATATACTGTTTCCTTCTTAAACCAGTGAAAATCCCTGCAACAAATCCGCTAAAAATTAAACCAAATGATTATTTTCGGCTCTACAGTATTTAGGAAATTATAATCAGACTTTTGTGTAGAGCCTGCAAGCATGCTGCGTCTGAATTAATGTACAGTGCAAGGTAATGGTTGTCTTCAGTTCTAGTGAATCAAAATACCTTCAGACAAGTATTATAGGAGGGTGCAATTCCCTGACCTGACCAAACACTACTGAGATGTACTTTAAAGCTAATGATGTACCGGTATGATCAAATACAAATCAGTGTACCTTCATACAAGTACATTAATAATTTATGGATCACCATGACATGGAGGAAAGGATGGTAAACAAGTCGTATCCACACTTCAGATCATCAATAAACGCAATCTTTTCACCTAATTGCAAACCAAGACTTTTAAATAATCTCTACCTCTCGTCCTTATTTCAGCTGTATGATTTTGATGATGAAGATGACAGGCTGCTTCCAAATTATGCTTTGTCGTGCCCAAAGACCAGGCTGAAGGCTTCATTAACAACAAAAAAGAGCAATATAAGTTCAAGTTTAAGAGAGTGTTTGATCAACAGACGAAACAAGATGAAATATTTGAAAACGTAGCTAAAGATGTTGCAGACAAGTAAGTTGATCTTGTGTGTGTACATTGTGTTTGTACGATAGGTGAGAAATTTACCAACCAACCATTCATCCAGGAATGGCAAATTATGCATACAGTCTTTATGTGGCAATCTATAGTATTTTATACTCTTTATCTCTTCATTTGCAGTGTGTTGTCTGGTTACAATGGTACAATCTTTGCATATGGGCAGGTATGAATATTATTTTCAGTATGTACTGCATTACATTAATAAAGTATAATTATTCAATAACTAAATCTCTTGTTCATATACATTGTAGGGTGATGGTGCTACTGAAAAATGTTATCTATACTTTCAAAAGTTCTGTAAACCACTCTAATTTAGTGGGAGATAATTGCAAAAATTTGTAGCAGTGAAAATTTCTCTGTAGTCCTATAACATGGTGCGACAGTGTAGATGACATTTTGTCTTCACGAATGCCATAAAATCCTCAAATCTTGAAAATGTATAGCAGTGAAAATTAAACAGTTTAGCAGTAGCTATATTGCAAGGGATAGGATATATACTCTGTCTACTGAGATGAAACTCTAATGTTTGTCTCACGGTCAAACTCACTTTCTTGGAAATCTGCACTCTATAACGAATAATCTAATTTTGACTGTATTGTGCCCAGGTGTTATTCGTTTTTACCAGTAGTTATTATGCTCACATTATTGCTATGTGTATTCCAGACGGGTAGTGGTAAAACTTTCACAATCACTGGTGGAGCTGAACGTTATGTCGATAGGGGTATAATTCCAAGAACATTGTCCTATCTTTATGACTATTATGCACAGGTAAGAATAAGTCTCTAGTTCAGTTACATTTATTGTTTGATTGTTATTGTAATGGTATGGTGAACAGTTTAGATTGACGATTGGTTTCCCATTGAAATACATTAATATTTTCAATCCAAAGGAATCGATTTATCAACTTATTTTTAATATTTTAATCATCATGTTGTATAACTTGCAGCATTCTGAAACTGTGTTTACAACTCATGTTTCCTATCTTGAGATTTACAATGAAAACGGCTATGATCTACTGGATCCAAGACACGAAGCTACAAAACTAGAAGACCTCCCGTAAGTATAAATAATTGGTATCATCCATGCCTACTTACTAAGAAAAGAAATGGCTAAAAAAAATTGCCTTCCCAATTTGCTTACTGTTCTATTATCACATATGTTTCAACTCGTGTTGATGAGTGAAGGAAGTAACAAATCTTAGAGCATTAACCCAGGTATGGGTAGCCAAGAAAGTATTGTATGCCATCAAGGCATTTGAGTGTGGCCTTAAGGCAATTGCCTCCATTGCCTCCTGGAATTTTGAGCCTTGTGTGCATGTTTTGATACATGTTTCTTTTTTTTTACAAAATAAGATTTTATACTGGTGAATTTTTTCTACAATGTCAAAATTTGCCTTATTTTTTTTTATTCCATATAGCAAAGTAGCACTGATGGAAGATAGTGAACAGAATATTCACCTAAAAAACTTGTCTATTCACCCTGCAAATAATGAAGAAGAAGCACTCAATTTACTCTTCCTGGGAGACACCAATAGAATGATTGCTGAGGTGAGATTTCTAGCAAACTTCTTGGGTATCACGTATTGTAGTAGACTACGCAAATATGAATTTCAATTTTGTCTTACTTCAAATGTAATTTCACTGGAGAACGGGAACGTATAGTTACTGCAGAGACATCTGTAGCATTTCACTTTTCCAAGAAACAATGCCATGAATCATTCAAACATACTTGGTTGATAACCCCTCATCCAACCCTGTCATCACATGTGCCTATTTTAAAACTTTTCTCATCAGAATGACATTTCTACTGTAGCTTTATCTGAAGTTTAATGAACTATTACCCCAAAGCTTTTCTTATCGCATATGCAAACTAATTAAAACTGCAAAGAGAAATTCCAGCTTTTCGTCGTCCAACTAAGATTCCATGCAGTCATTGTACATCAAACCCAGTTCATCAAATTAAAGTTGGATCTCTTCAGAAATCTTGCATATCTGTCACATATTTGTCTTGTACTTGCTTGTACACCATGTCAGTGTTCAGTCAACACAGCGTTATGAACTAACACATACTTGTACCTGATTGTGGGTTCTTTATATTGTTTACAGACACCCATGAACCAAGCGTCAACAAGATCACATTGTATATTTACAATACATGTATCATGTCGAGAGCCTGGATCAGCAACAATCAGACGAGCTAAACTGCACCTGGTGGATCTTGCTGGGTATGTCATTAACACAAGATATTATTTGCTGTTCCATTGCCAAATTCTGTGTATTATTTGATGAACAAGAGAAATTATCATCTAAAACAATTAAATTGCCAAGGTTGGGCCAGTTGAGATGGAATTCTATATAAGAGTTGTTTTGCTCACACATACAAACCAGATGTTGTTTTTCAGTCTTGAGATTATTACTAATATTTGGTTCCAGGTCAGAAAGAGTTCATAAAACTGGAGCTGGTGGAACGCTTTTAACTGAGGCCAAATATATTAATTTATCATTACACTACTTAGAACAGGTAAGTCATTGGTGTAAACATATTGAATCTGAAGTTGTAAGATGTGATCTGAGCATCCTCTGATTCAGCCTTACCTGCTGTGGTACCATGTGTTCGGCTCAATAGCCAGACTGTCAGTGTACAAGTATGTAAAATGTATTTCTGATATAGAGGGATAGTTGCAACTAGTGAAAATAGTAGCTGAAAAATTAAAAATCAACAATTGTTATAATAAAAAAATTTCCAGATGTTCAAAGTTGTTTTTAACCTGTCAGTATGATAAAATAGCTTCAGCATGGATTGCACTGGTTTTAACCCCATTGTGTATTTCACTTGTTGCATTTCAGGTTATCATATCATTATCAGAGAAGTCGAGACAGCACATCCCTTACAGGAATTCCATGATGACATCTGTGTTGAGAGATAGTCTTGGTGGTAACTGCATGACTACTATGATAGCTACCTGCTCTGTTGAAAAGAAAAATTTAGATGTGAGTTTGTAATCATTCCTTAGCTTCAATATATACCGGTATATATATATATATATATATATATATATATATATATATATATATATATATATATATATATATATATATTTCCATCTTTGTATCAGGCGCGAATGAATACCCAGGTTGTTCACTACATGTAGATTTTTACTTTATTTTGGCAAGTATAATTTAGTAACAAGGCCACCCATGTCTCGCATGTAATCAGTTACATCACTGTGAGTCATTGGCAAAGAAGATTTTCACTATTCAAAATATATGTGGTTTACTCTGACTGCCCGATTCACCAGACTCTTCTGCGAAATGACTCCGCTACCCGAACTACGGTGTTGTCATTGCAATATGTCCTTGACTTCAAACTGTTTAGTTTTCGTTCACTAA